GAGAGATATAGGTCCAGTTTTAATCTTTGGCATGTTGAAACCCAATTTTTCCAGCACCATTTATTAAAGAGGCTATCTTTCCTCCAGTTGAGGGTATTTGGCTCCTATATTGAAGATGAGATGGCTGAGTGTGTCTTGCATTGTTTCTGCATCTTCTAATCTGTTCCACTGGTCCTCAGGTCTGTTTTTTTTTTGCCAGTTCCATGCTGTTTTTATCACAGTAGCTTTGTAGGATAGTTTCAAGTTGAGGACTGTGATACTCCCTGCCATGTCTCTGTTACCTAGAATTGCTTTTGCTATTATGTTAGCAATTGTAATGTTTAATACAGATGAATATAGTAATCCTGTCTGAAACCAACTGTGTCATGCACTAATCTAATAAGGCCGCTGAAAAATTTTTAATTTTCATTTTAGAGACTGTATAGAGAAGCTTGGGACAAGGACAAGACTCAAATTCACATCATGCCAGATACACCTGACATTATTTTGGCTAAGGCAAACTTAATCAATACAAGTGATGTAAGTTTCCAAATTCAGCATGCATTTTCAGAAATCTCATTTTAATTGCTGCTAAGTCAGTGAAGATATTTGAAAGTTCTTTTGAATCCCTAAATCATTTTGATTAATAAACTAGATGTACTTCTGGTTCCTTATTTAATGGGTTTTAGGTGAAACATCAAAATATTTGTAATCCCTCTTTTGGGCAGTGTTGGGAGCTGTTTTAAGTGTTCCTTGCATCTTATCACATCTTATCATAAAGTGATGGTTTATATCCCTCTCCCCTGTATGGCCAGGTATTCTGTGTAGGCAGAGACAATTCTTATTAGATCTGCAGTGCATACCTAGTGTTGTGCCTGACACATAGTAGTCACTCCACAAAATTTCAAGTGAGCAAGCATACAAAATCATGCAGGAGAATTTCATTTTTATATTTATTGTCATCATTGCATAATCTCCTAAAATTTGTGGATGTAAAAATTAAGTATTTAAAAAACAAATTCTAAAATCTAATAAAATGACTTTAACATTAAAGAATGTATTAGAGTAATACCATGAACACTGAAATATAAACCCAGGTGCAAGATCAATAGGCATTTTAAACAATTTGGTTTCTAGATTAAGGTATACTTAAGTTATTGTCTCAATTATTCAATTATGTCACAGATCTTAAAAAAACAAATTATTGCCCCTAAATTTTAGAGCTTTCCTTAAAATATAATATTTTTTAAACTATGAAGGACTCTGTATGTTACCTAAAAACATGTAAGTCTTCTTTGCATCGTCCTGTATTATGAGGCAGATGCTGTTTCACAGTGCATTAGCTACAAAAAGTAATAGCCCCTTTTGCATAGTTTTTCCTCTCTAGAGAACTAAGATGGAAAGGCATCACGCTTTTCTTACAATTTCCAATGAAGCACTCAACATTAATTGGAAAACAGCACCTAAATAATATTTCATCGATCAGTTTACTTCTGCTGCTTTCTCATAAGAATTGGGGAAGAGCTGATATTTAATTTTGTGCATCTAGGTTAGTCACAGCACTCTAAAGTTTAAAACAGGATTATCAGCAATCCGTGGGCATAATTTCCAATTACATTCAAGTAGTCTAAAGCACAAATACTAGTCTCATGAATTCCTAAAATATTTAGCACTTTTGATTCATTTTCCTGCAGTTGTTTATGAAGAATGTTTTTTCTCAAAGTGATCTTCATTTCTCACCAGAAAATCTACCGAATGGGTTATGAAGAGCTGAAGAAAAAGGGTTATGATCTTCCTGTGGATGCCATACCAATCAAAGCAGCAAAAGCATCCCGGGAAATTGCCAGTGAAGTAAGACATTATCTGCTGTTGCTATTTATTTGATTGCAATTTATCACTTCATAGTAGTCTCAATTTAATTTTAAATTGAACAAAATCTTTTTTGTTTTGTTTTGTTTTGGTACTGGGGATCGAACTCAGGTCCTTACGCTTGCAAGGCAGGCGGTGGAACCACTGAGCTAAATCCCCAGCCCTGAACAAAGTCTTTTAAGAGGTAACAAATTAAAACAGAAATGATCCCAGACTTTCAAGGCAGGATAAGAATAAGATCAAGGATACATTCATTATGTATGCAAGTTGTAGCTGAATTTAGCCTTTAATCTTTCCTATCAAAAACCTGAAATCCATAGCTCTGTAGGCTTAATAAGACATCTTGAGACAGTGTGCTTTGTAATTTGCTACAAAGATGGCAATATAAGCTAATTCTGAAAGGAAAAAGACATATTTTTTTCCTTAGTACAAGTACAAAGAAGGCTTTCGCAAGCAACTGGGCCACCACATTGGTGCACGGAACATTGAGGATGACCCCAAGATGATGTGGTCCATGCACGTGGCCAAGATCCAGAGTGACAGGGAGTATAAGAAGGACTTTGAGAAGTGGAAGACCAAGTTCAGCAGCCCAGTGGACATGCTGGGGGTGGTGCTGGCCAAGAAGTGCCAGACCCTAGTAAGCGACATAGACTACAAGCACCACCTGCACCAGTGGACCTGTCTGCCGGACCAGAATGATGTCACCCACGCTCGGCAGGCCTATGACCTCCAGAGCGACGTGAGTCTAAGGTTTTCCTTTACTTAGTTAAATACTGTGACTGCTTTCCTAAGTATCAAAATTCCCCTAATGTGAGGGAAGTTGGGTTTACAGAACTGAGTTCTACTTTCCTAGACTAATGCCCAGGCTCTATCCAGTCACTCAATTGTCTGAAGACACTGTTAATCTACAAAGAGTGAGCTAGCAAAGTCCCATTGCTTTGATTGAAGTGATAAGATTGCTGATCTAGAGAAATAGAGAATTGAATCACTCTGTGTCCTTAAGTGTTTTCCAAAGTATACTTCTAATTGGATATTTTCTTGGTTTACAATTCATACCAAAATTTTGAAATTACCCAAGAATTCAAGCACTAAAATATTATATGTATGTGTATATAAGTGTATATATATGTAGAGTTTTGTTTGTATGTATAATATAAATGCACTATAGTAAAATTATATTGCAATATATAATGCAATATAAATTTTTTATTTCTTTGGGGACATATGCTTACAGTTAGTGATTTGTCATTTGCAATTTCAGAATTTGTACAAGTCTGATCTTAACTGGCTAAGAGGCATTGGCTGGATACCTACTGGTTCTCTTGAAGATGAGAAGAACAAGAGAGCTGCTCAGATTCTAAGTGACCATGTTTACCGTCAGCACCCAGATAAACTCAAGTTTTCCAGCCTTATGGATTCCATGCCAATGGTTTTGGCAAAAAACAATGCTATTAACATGAACCATGTAAGTTCTTTCTTTGCATGTGGATTGTGTGTGTGTGTGTGTAGAAACACTAAAATCTGTTTTTATGAAAGAACATCTCTGTTCAACTTTTTTGCTTACTTACTAAAGTGATTTTAAAGTAAGTGTTGTGCTTCTTACTGACACAAGACATCTAAACCTGAAAATGTCGGAAATAAAGGGCTCACAGAGCAGAATCTCTTTATTCTCATTAAGAGTCAGACTGTTCATTACTGACCTGTTCTTGTCCTGTCTTATTGTTTGTTTTAGCACCTCTATACAGAAGGCTGGAATAAAGATAAAACTAGTATTCATATTATGCCAGACACCCCTGAGGTTTTACTAGCTAAACAAAACAAAATAAACTACAGTGAGGTAAGAAATAAGTACGTGGTGCATAGTATATTTTCTTTACGATTCATTTTACAAATCAAACTGAAGATTACTTATATCTGTTCCAGAAATTATATAAGCTTGGCCTAGAAGAAGCCAAGAAGAAAGGCTATGATATGCGACTCGATGCCATTCCCATCAAGGCAGCCAAGGCCTCCAGAGACATCGCGAGCGATGTAAGTACACCTGAGAAGTGCTTTGCTTTAGCTCTGGCTTGAAGATCATTTTCTCTCTCGTGAATTTATAGTGGGGAAAATAAATAAAAAGGTTAAAGCTGTTGCTAACAGTTCATTTTGTCAGTAAATGGTATAAAATAATGGTAATAAAATGCCCAGCACCAAATTCTAACGATGGCTGAGTCCATAGCAACACACTTTTCAAATATTATCTATTTCCTGCTGAATAAAACCACTGCATACTTGACTATAATTCAGGTATCTTTTTTGGCTTGTAAACACAATGTGTTTTTTTTTCATACACTCAGACTTATTGTAAGGTCCCTTCAAAACTACACCCATGCCTTAACAACTAATGCACCTGCAAGGACACAGTACAGAGGAGTTCCACATTCCAAGTTCCACCATCCATGTAGACCATATATTTCTGCATCCAGTGATCACCTACAAATATTTGTTTTCTTTAAAGGGTTAATTTGCTAACATTTCTAAAATATCCTTTGTTTTAGCTACGAAGATAAAAATTTTTTTTCTTTATTTCTAAAATATGGGAAATAATTATCATAATTTAAAAATATATGGTCAACAAAGAAAGGTTATTGTATTAATGTATACACATATAGTGAAATACCTGCTGCTATTTAAAAATCATCTTTATAAAGAATAATTAACAGGGCCGGGGATTTAGCTCAGTGGTTCCGGCACCTGCCCCTCAAGCACAAGGTCTGAGTTCGATCCCTGGTACCAAAAATAAATAAATAAATAAAATAAAAGAATAATTAACGACAGAAAAATGCTTATATAATAACTGAAAAGAGCAGAAAAAAAATGTATGATGCATGTGCTAATTTTATTCTCTCTTTCATACACATACACATCATAAAATGTTGTCTTTAGTAGTCAAACTGTGTTAATTTTTCTTTTGTTTTTGGTGCATACATTTCACTTATTTTCTAAATGGTTTGTAAGATGCATGTATTATATATTATTTATATTCAAAGAAAATAATTATTTTTAATGACTAAGAATTGCTCTTGATCAAAGTTAAAGGAGATGAGTAGTTGACTTTTTCTTCTAGTTCAAGTACAAAGAAGGCTATCGAAAGCAGCTTGGTCACCATATTGGTGCTCGAGCTATCCATGACGACCCCAAGATGATGTGGTCCATGCACGTGGCCAAGATCCAGAGTGACAGGGAGTACAAGAAGGACTTTGAGAAGTGGAAGACCAAGTTCAGCAGCCCAGTGGACATGCTAGGGGTGGTGCTGGCCAAGAAGTGCCAGACCTTGGTGAGTGATGTGGACTACAAGCACTACCTGCACCAATGGACCTGTCTGCCTGACCAGAACGATGTCACCCATGCTCGGCAGGCCTATGACCTCCAGAGTGATGTGAGTACTGAGGTTCATAAGAACACACAAAGGTGGGGATTTAGTGAATTAACTTTGCTTGGAGAAGTAGCAGTAGGTAGCACCAACCCCAGCAGCCCCTACAAGGAGGGAATAGCATGCCTGCTTTCCTCATGAATGTTAATCCTTTAACCCTCCACCCTACTCACCCACCAAACTATATTTTAGTATATGTGCTGCCAAAGTGAGCATTACCAAACTATATTGTAAAGAATGCTTCTATTTGATTTTAGGTCCCTTAGAGAAAATGCATTCCTAATGCAGGGATCAATATTTATTGAATATTTGTATCAACAGAATATGTACAAGTCAGATCTCCAGTGGTTGAGAGGCATTGGCTGGGTGCCCATTGGCTCTTTGGATGTGGAAAAATGCAAAAGGGCAACTGAGATTTTGAGTGATAAAATCTATCGTCAGCCTCCAGACAAATTCAAGTTTACCAGTGTGACTGATTCTCTGGAACAAGTGCTGGCCAAGAATAATGCCATCACTATGAACAAGGTGAGGCTTCCAAACTAGACAACCAAGATAGGGTTCCTGAAGCTGACTCAAAGAAAACCATAACTGAGAAAAAAAGGAGTACAGTATTGAGCAACAAAAGGCACCTACCATCCACCTCACTATCCTCTGTCCTTGTCTGTGTCTGCATCTGTCATCTAACTGAAATATGACATTTATAATTTAATATTCACTTCAGTTAGTTTCATGGTTTTGATAAAATGCTGTATTTTACTGGAAAATAGTCTTTTCATAAAAGATATTTATTTTTGATTTCCTTTTAATAGTATTTTCATATTATCAGAAGGCACTTATAAGTGTTCCACTGTGAACTGATTACTTGAAAACATATATAAAATACATAATGTATGCAAAATACCATAACTTGTCTTTTGTTTGTTTGTTTCTAAAGTTATTATGGCCCTAAAATTCCTATTATTTATACACTGAATTTTTTCTGATGGTGTTAAAATGTTTTCCTTTATAGCGTTTGTACACAGAAGCCTGGGACAAAGACAAGACCCAGATCCACATAATGCCAGATACACCAGAAATTATGTTGGCAAGAATGAACAAAATCAACTACAGCGAGGTGAGAAGAGTGGCTAATTCATTGACATTTGCACAGCGTGTCTTATTTCAGTTGACATTCCCTGGCGATATAATACTAAAATGGCAGAGATGTTCTTAATGTTTTATAAAGAACCTTTTTTCTTGCTTCATATGAAAAGCAACTCCTGAGTTTCTGAATCACCATCATAAATGTCAAACTTTTGAGTAATAAGAATCATCATTTCGGGGAATTAATGATTGAAGAATTACTGATTTCAGCACCAATCATAAGAGCAAGTTGATCATTTTCTTTTGCAAGTAGATCATTTTTTATTAATTTTTGAAATGAGGTTAGCAATAGACCAATACACATGCATGTATCTCCTGTTGATGCTACAGCAAAGCTTGAGCTGATATATTTTCCATGTATAACATATTACATATTGTTCTTAAATTGTAACTTAGGGTCAAATTTTAAGATTTTTTTTAACGTTAAGATTAAAGTCAAAGACTAAAATCACAGTACCACCAAATCTCACACACACACACACACACACACAGAATACCAATGAAAATCTGTCAGTGAATATATTAACAAACTCATGGCCTTTTTACTTCTGGTGAGCACAGGGCCACATGGTCCCGTATTGGAATCCCAGATACATAGGTAGAGAGGTTTGAAAGAGGTCCTGTCCCCTCTTCCAGTACAGAACCCCACTCCGCAGGTGGTTCTGCCTTTGCTTAAGGGCCCCCAGTCACAAGGACCTTATCTCATAAGTCAGTCCATTTGTTCTGGAAAATTCCATTAGGAAGTGCTTCTGAGGTATTCAATCACATTTCTCTCTACAAAGACATATAGTTCTCTGAAGGCAGCAGAAACAATCTGTGCCCACCCATGAAGATAGAGACAGCCACCAGGGTCCTCCTCTGCCACACCCCACTCTGGGTCCTCTCTATAATCCACACTTTCCAAATTCCTGACATGTCCTCCCTGGGAAAAATGTGACTCAGAACTGAACAAGATACTGAGAATGAGGAATGACCAGAGTAGAATACAGTTAAGGATCACATTTCCTCTTCTGGACATTTGATGTTCAATTCTGCACCCTGTGCTTCTGGGGTACACTGGCTGCTGTGTCACTGCTGGTGCACATGAATTTGGGATCACCTTAAACTCCCAGACATGTAACATGAGCTAAATCTTGGTCTTCTGTCCTGCATTTATGCATTTAGCAATTTAAATCTTGGCTCAACGATTGACATTTATCTCTGTGTAATTTCTTCTTCTTAGATTGAGGCTATGGGCTTAAATCTGTGGAGATTTTTGTGACTCTAAGATCCTGTCAGCTGATGTATTAGTTTTTTCTCCCAGCTTTGTGCCGCTAGCAAGTAAAATGTTTCTGACAGCATAGATCAACAAAATATTACTTTTCTGTGGCATATAACTTACTTTAGATAGAATAACAACCATCTTCAGTAATTTTATTTTAGAGACTCAGATTATATTTTAGTGCTTGTATAACTAGTCCTTAATTGTCACTGAAAATTAAAAACATTAAATCCTATTTTCAAATCAGAAAGGATTTAATTTTTTAACCAAACTTACATTAGAGTTCCTTAATTGTTTCAGGAAGGCAAATACTGCATGTGCAGGAATTTCAGGAGACAGAAAGCCCCTGTAACTCTCCACTCAGAATTTCTAAAATGTTTAACTCTGTCTTTGCTGAAAAACAGCACAGGTCCTAAAATACATCTGGTAGTTCAGCCAGACCCAATAGAGAGCCATTGACTGAATGCCTAACCTGCCTAGTCTCCTTTCTCTGTTTTTTCTCTACCAATTTACATAGTTCAATTTATTTGTGTTTCCATCTCATTTAGGATAAGAAGATAATGCAAATTTATTATGTCACTCTTTCCTCTCAAAGATTTTTGTTGTTTCCTATTTTCTATAGAATCAAGCAACACATTCTTAAAGGATTTCTGGCTCAACTTGAAGTTCTTTTCAGTCCCCTCTTACCACTTCTCTCTGGGGCTTCATCCTACTTCCTTCAACACCTGGACACATCCATGTCCCTGTGCTCTGATTCATGTGATTCTCTCTCCTGTTGGCTAGAAACCTAGCTCATCATTCAAGGTCCAACTCATAGGACACTCTCAGCAAGAACTTCCCTGGTTCTTAGTTCAAAATAAATGACTGGAGGGCCGGAGATTTAGCTCAGTGGTTTCACTGCCTGCTGCACAAGCTCAAGGACCCGAGCTCGAGCCCCAGTACCAGAAAGAAAGAAAGAAAAAGAAAGAGGGAAGGAAGGAAGGAAAGAAAGACAGACGGACTGGGTGTTTAGTGCACTTTCCTGTTGCTGGGAAACAATTGTGTGGTTTTTTTGGTACCAGGGATCGAACTTGGGACCTTCTGCTTGCGAGGCAGGTGGCAGAACCACTGAGCTAAATCTCTGGCCCCAAGGGAAACAATTCTGGGCACCCAGAACTTATAGAAGGAGAGGTTTACTTTGGGATATGATTTCAGAGTGTTCAGTCCATGGTCAGCTGGCTCTAAGGCAGAGATATCATTGTGGAAGGGTGCAGCAGAGTCTCACCCAGAAGTGTACTTTACAAATCCCCTAGCTTAATTGTCATAGACTCCTTCCTGGATCTCTTTCTTGATAATATGGTTAAACCACTTCTTGTGGTGTGATTCTCAGTTCTACATGTTATGATTCTTCATTACTTCGAACACACACTTTAAAGTTTAAGGAGATCAAACCCTCATCTTTGATTTCCACGTACCCAGTATTGTCACCAACACAAAGTTAGGGGAGAATAAATGTGAATTTAATTAATTGCCATGAACAACATTTCTTCCCTGTTTGTTACCTTAGGTCTGTGAATTTCAGCTTAATTTTTCTAGTACTTCCAAACTTGATTGTTTTAAGTAAAAAATTTTTAAACAGCATAAATTTTCATTAATTCCACATAAATTATAAAATGAAAATCAGGGGCAGTGATCTTCAGAGGTATCCTTTTAATTTTAACAAAGTGCAGAAGGCTTAGAACTTCAAAAATGATATTGTGGGCGCTCATAGGTAATTTAGTGCATTGTTTACAGCCTCTATCAGTTTTTGGATATAAATGTCAACATTTAACTTTTGTGGCCCCAATTCAGAGTCTGTATAAACTTGCCAACGAAGAAGCCAAGAAGAAGGGCTGTGACTTGCGAAGTGACGCCATCCCCATCGTGGCAGCTAAGGCCTCCAGAGACATCGCCAGTGACGTGAGTGGTCCATTCTGCTCCCAGTGTGTGAGCAGCATGATGTGGCATTTTCACTGAACTAAACTTTTACAAAGGACCTTTGAAAATATGTCCTGATGTGCTTCTGTTGGGAGCATTGCTCCCAACATACTTCTGTGGGATTTTTTTGGGAAAATCTAGCTTTGGGGGAAATGGAAAATTTGATGTTCATAGAAAGGGTTTGTAACCTGTAGGACACAGTGTCTTCAGTGAAAACTGGCTCACCAAGAATAGAGACAGACCCAGTCATGTACAAACTGCTAGAGTGCAGTTGCAGGCTTACAGATGTGTCTACTCACAGAAAGGTTTCTAGAAAGTATATACTCAGAACTTAAGTTCTCCCAGTGAGAATCATGACCTGGCTTTATCCAACATTTTCATATGCAATGTTCAGAAAACACAGAGACACTTGCTGTTATAATTTGTCCTTGTAAGATTATGAAAAGGAAGCAGTTGATCAATATCAGAGGGAAGCTGCTGGTGGCTGTGCAGTGCCACCCTCCAGAGTAAAACTAGCATCCTCTCTTGGTGCCTCAAAGATTCTTGAGGAACAGACCACTGCTGCAGAAATCAAGGCCCACACTCAGGAGGATGACCTTTATGTGGGTGTATCACAGTGACTGTCTTTCATTTGTGGATGTTATCCTCTTCTCACCCCCAGCAAATGTTCATATGTCAATAATAGTAAATAATGATTGAAAAGTATTGAGAACTCTGTGTGCAGAGTTTTATGTGCATTATCTCACTCTTCATAATTACCCTGGGCTATTGCTATCACTACCCACATTTGTGAATTAAGAAACCTTTCTTTAAAAATCAAAGTTTTAGTGGGTAGAGAGTTGGGACAACAGCTTCATTCCTTTGTACTGTGCTATATTCTCTCCTGCTGATGGTTCTATACTTTCTACTCAGTTGGCTTTGAAGGCAGAAGCACATGTTGGAGATAATTGGCCTAGTGAAACCTAAACCCATGACCTTGTTAGAAGTGTGCTCTAACCATTTGGTTTGCTATGTCAGCTTTACTAATTAGTTTTCAAAATGATGCCCCAAATTTGCCACAGCCACTGAATGCATAAATCCAATATAAAATTTACATTTTTTCAATATAAAATTTTTGCAATATAAAATTTACATATTTTCTCCTCTGTTGCTACTCTAGGTGGTATTTGACCTAAGTACAGTACTTCAGGCTTACTCATTTTACAGCCATTCATTACACAGCTTATTAAGCACACAGACCACCTGTGCATCCCTTTCCTGACCCACATTTTTGTATAAGATCTAATTCTCCAGGCTTCCTGCTTCAAATGACCTCTCCCTGATTTCCACAGGTGACCTCTCCCCGACTCTGTGTGCTTCTTTCCCCCAGAACTAGTCTTTCGGCCGGTGGGCCATAGGTGATTTTGAGTATACACTATAATTATATTAATTTCATCTATTTTATTACATCTAGAGGCTTCCAGGGTAAATGTAAGGATGTGGGCTGGAGTTGGTGCTTACAGCAAAAGTCAGTTAAAAATATGATTTTGTACAGATTTGTGACCTCCAAAGGTTTATAGTAAAGATCTGATTTATACTTTTTTATTTCAGTACAAATACAAAGACGGTTACCGCAAGCAACTGGGCCACCACATTGGTGCACGGAACGTTGAGGATGACCCCAAGATGATGTGGTCCATGCACGTGGCCAAGATCCAGAGTGACAGGGAGTACAAGAAGGACTTTGAGAAGTGGAAGACCAAGTTCAGCAGCCCAGTGGATATGCTGGGGGTGGTGCTGGCCAAGAAGTGCCAGATCCTCGTAAGCGACATAGACTACAAGCACCACCTGCACCAGTGGACCTGTCTGCCGGACCAGAATGATGTCACCCACGCTCGGCAGGCCTATGACCTCCAGAGTGACGTGAGTACAGTATCTATACCACAACAGGGTGTAAAAATATTTTAAAACTATTAAAAATTATCTTTTATATACAACCCATTAGCCTATTCAAGCTAGGATTTATTGCTAAGTAAATAAGATTTGAATCAGTGTTTCAAATAGTTGTATTGCTTATTATAAACATATCTGTAGTCCTTATAAGGAAGTAAAGTTTCTACACTGGCATTGGTCTTAGGAAACAAAGCAGATATTGTGCATTGTTAGAATTCAGGGCCCACCAGATGGAGACATTTTCTTTTTTTTTTTTAAAGGGAAATGAAATGACACATTTTTATTAAAAAGAAAAAACTAGTCTAGAATTTGTTGTTGGTGTGTCCTTGATAAATGAAGGAGGTTATAGTTATTAGAGCACTAATACCATCTATGCCAGTACATGTTATTCTTAGGAAATGAAAGATGCCTCTGTGCTGTGTCTGTAACCATTGGATTGTTTCACTGACACTTGCTCCTTTAGTGTGGCTGTCTTTACGGAGGGGCCACATGGTAATGTCAGAATCTAGTGCCTATCGAAAGCAGATGCACTATCCCAAATACGAGTATGAGAAGCACATTCACTGCACTGCATATTTTATAAACATTTGAAGGAATTATTAAGCATTTGGGCACTTTGGAGAATAAGACAAATTCACAGTAATTATACGTTAATTGCCCTAGAAACTGTGCGGCCTGCCTGGAGAACTCCCACATCTGTTTTGTAGCTTTCAACACAAAGAGCTCTGTGTTTTGTAATTGTCTGGAAGAAGAAAGGCTTCACCTACACAAAGGTAGTTTAAAAGGGTTGATGTCACCCATAGAGCAACAGCCCTGCCATCTGTCTATTTCTTGCCGCCCTTTCTGGATTGCCCTCCTCCCACTGTGGCTGGCCCTAAAATGTGGGAGGCATTTGCAAGGTAAAAAGCCCTCCAGTGACATAAGATGTTATTTTTTTTATTCTCACTGCTGTTACCTAGGTGACAACTAGTCAGCATAGAACAAGTCCAGTTGGCTTTTTGTCTGCAAATTAGCCGTTTATATTTTTCTACTTAGTTGCTGTTACCAGTGAAATCTCTCTAGTAGGTAGATCAGAGATCTTGTTGCACTTTTGTGAAGTAATTAGAACTTTAAGGGGTATCTAAATCTAAAGCTCTTTAGCAGAAAACATGATTAAAAGTGAAGTGAGAATGATATAGCATGATGATTCTGGAAGAGTCTGTACTTCCTATTCTGGGAAACGCAGTGAGGGAGGGACTGGGACCCTAGATGTGGTCATTCATTGCCCTGAATCTTGGACAGTATTACAGCTTTCAGAGATCTGCCTTAGGACATCCGGAATTCTACACCATTATTATATGTCATTTTAACTTCTTTGTTTCTCTTTTTTAAAAAGAGCATTATAAATATTTTGAAATATAAGAAAAAGTACATAGAACACAATAATAATTCAGCTCAGTCTAACTACCAAAAAACTTATTCCTACCTATATAATTTACTTATCTACATTGTTTCATATGCTGTTTCTTTATTTAATATTATGTACATATCAATTCTCCATCCCATCAATATTTTTACAAAATGAAGATTTTTAATAGCTGCAGAGTGTTTCATTTGGCGAGGCCTAAAACTGATGGCCTGTTGGTTATTGTATGTGCTTTGCCTCCCTCTCATTGGTATTCTTCCCTGTGCATGTGGACATTATAGTCACATTCACTGAACTGATGGAAGATATTAATTGGGATTGCTCTTCTCCCAACAAGCTAAAATGTTGAGGAATTTTTTTATTTTGGCTCGGAGACATTTCTGGGTCATTTTCAAGAAATAGTTCCTCTTTTAGTCTGCTGAATGCAGGAAGCTTGTTTTCTATGAAAAGGAAATGGGATCACACTTTATTATTGATGCCATTTACATCTTTATCCTCATTCAATATGGTGATTTTGATGAGTATCTGCCTTTTACCCCCTCTTCTTAGAATGTGTACAAATCAGATCTGCAATGGCTGAAAGGCATCGGCTGGGTCCCCATTGGATCAGTGGATGTGGTCAAGTGCAAGAGAGCTGCAGAGATCCTGAGTGACAACATCTACCGCCAGCCTCCAGACAAGCTAAAGTTTACCAGCGTGCCTGATTCTCTGGAACAGGTGCTGGCCAAGAGCAATGCCCTCAACATGAACAAGGTGAGCCCCGGCTACCTCAAATGTTTCAATATGCCAAAAGATGTCGTTATACTTTAATGACTAGTGAATTCAAAATTATTCATGGAGGTGTAGGGTTACATTTTCCCTTAAATTTTGTACTTGAAATCTTCTAAATAATTTCTATTATTTTCAGTTTGAATCTTAACAATCATTGGTAATTCCCAAATCTCCAGTGGACTGTCTTATATCCAAATCTGATTATTTTTCCTAATTAGGTCAATAATAACTTTTAATTTGACCTTGTATATTTGCTATCTCAAATGTTTTTCAAACATGTTATCTTCTTTTATAGCGTTTGTATACAGAAGCCTGGGACAAAGACAAGACTCAAATTCATATGATGCCTGATACACCGGAGATCATGTTGGCAAGGCAGAACAAAATCAACTACAGTGAGGTAGGGGCGAAAATCTGTGGTGCTACACTTACTTGTCATCATTGTTTGGTTTTCTGCACTTAGTTTTGTTGGATTTCTTGGGCCTGAGCTATCATGGTTCATGTGGCTTTTTTCATGTCGACACTCAGCCTGTCCAACCTTTCCTATCTGGTTTGAATATTATATTTCATAGGATTCTGCAGACAAACTTAAGTCACATTGTCTTTTCAGTTTGTGACTTTTCCCAGGGTGAGTCAGTGGGACTCGGGAGTATTTTTGACATTCCCAAGGGGTAGGATTGCCAGATACAACACTGCCTCATTATTTATACAAAAACATTCTTTGTTATTTACCTGAAATTTGAGTTGAACTGGGTGAGCTATATTTTCATTTGCTAAATCTGTAACCCTGTCAAGGAGGTCTCTAATAATGTATACCTCCTACCTACTTGGGTCCTGAATAAAACAGAAATAAAACCAAGGAGTTGAAACAGAAATCAAAATCTCATTTTTTAAAACTACTATAGTTAGTTTAAAGGACACATTTGTATGACAGACTGCTAACTGAACCTCAGCAGGTTTCCCTACTCAAGTACAGGCTGCAGGAAGCAGGTGTCATCCAGCACCAACAACCAACACCCCCCCCCCCGCCCCGCTAGGCTCTGCTGAAAGACAGGAGGCTACAAGGCTGGTTCTTAGAGGGAGAAAGGGGAGACTTGAACTGAGCATGCTCACTAATCTCATCCTTGCCAACTAGGTAACTCGGTAAATCACCGCACATCTCTAGGACAGAAAAAGACCAGAGTTAAAACAACTGAACTTCTTTTTTATAGAATGGAAACATTAAGCATAGGAAAGAAGTGTTCTCTATCAATAACACTGATTTCTGATTTTTTTAAACACATGTGTTACTAATATAATATAGCCAAAATTTAGAATCTTAAAGTTGAGATTATAGTCACTAACTGTGCTTTAAATATATTTTAAATTTTTGCCTTGTTTTTTAAACATTGTAAAACAGTACATAATTATAAAAGTTTAAGTAACAAATGAATGAAAGTGTGTATATATTTTATAAAAAATAAATAATAAACATACTGGTCTGCCATTTTTTCATTTAGCAGTATGTATGCATTGCTACTTTGTCTTTCAATCTGTATTACTAGATGACATTAATCAATATTGGTATGTGTATCCTATTAGTCTATAAATGATATATATATTAATCTATAATTTTATATAATCGATTAATATATCAATCTATACTAATATCCATTGTTATATCTCACTTGTTTCTAATATATAGTTTTTTTGGTAAGATATAATTTATTGTTCTTCACTATTGCTAGAAACTTAGGTTGTCTCCTGTTGATATCCTTTAAAAATTATATGGGTTGAGTCACTCGATAATCTCCAGACTGTTGCTGTCAGACCTTTTTCTTCAACTCTTGGATTCTCTTTCTGTAGACTCTGTATAAACTTGCCAACGAGGAGGCAAAGCAGAAAGGCTATGACCTGCGAGTTGACGCCATCCCCATTGTGGCGGCCAAGGCCTCCAGAGACATCGCCAGTGACGTGAGTAGCAACAGTGGATATTTATGTGGATGGATGGGTGAAGGGGGAAGCTCATTACTGTGACAGGGAAATGCATCCAGATACTGATGCCAGCTCATTGATTGACTTAATTATTCTTTTAAATTAAAAAATATTTTTAATTTTAAAAATACATTTTTTAACTCTAAGAGTTTAGTATCTGGATCCTTTGGGAGACCTTTGGGAATCCTAAACTTTGGTATGAAGTTGAATCAGAATTTATAATTTTTCATATTTATAATTATGATAAATTCTTCATATCTGGCACATGTAGCCCTCTCAGAAATAAAAAAAAGTACTAGAAAAATAATAACTTGGTTACTTGTATTGGTTCAACACCAGCTAAAGACCTGGCACAGCCCAAACTAGGAAATTCTACCTTTCCCCAAACCTGCTCTGTATTTTTTTCAATTTTCATTGAAGATTACCTTAAGTGGTTCTTACTGAATTCCTTTTCAATGAAGATAGAAAGCCAAAACAAAGAATGATGAACCTGGTTGCTCTTTCTGCTTTCTCTGAAGAAAGTGGTTCCTGTGGTAGAGAATTAAACTTCCATAAATATACAATAGGATTTGTATGATGTTGTTGCCTAAATCATAGAGAAAATATCTGGAATCAGCCCTTACATCACCAATAAAATGTTTTCTTACTTACTTATAGTTCACTTTCTCACTGGAGGAATCCCAGACAAACTTCAGCCAGATTTGATCTCCATACAGAGACAAAGTGTGTCCTTTCAGGGAATCAAGTGACCCAGTGAAAATCATCAGAGCCAGATTTGGGAGGGACAATAGGTGATTTGGGTTGGGATGGAAATGGTATCTTCAGACTCATGAATAGAATTTTACAATTTACATGTAAGATTTCTAGGTTAGTGACTTCACCGGTCAAAGATCTATTATTTAATCTGAAAAGTGTTGCTGCCTTTATTTCCAGAGACTTAATATCTGCCAACCATATGATTATGTAGTTTGGTCTGTCTTCCCATTAAACTATTTCTGTGAGGTCTAATCAGAGCTTAAGATAAGGAGATAAGTTAATATTCAGAAACTCCATTTTTGAGCAAGAATTAGCAAATTTTCAAATAACACAGTTTTAGATTAACAAGACTCTTAACCCTTTCTATTTATTTTATTTTTGAAACATCTCCCTTTTATTTCAGTACAAATACAAAGATGGTTATCGCAAGCAATTGGGCCACCATATTGGTGCACGGAACATTGAGGATGACCCCAAGATGATGTGGTCCATGCACGTGGCCAAGATCCAGAGTGACAGGGAGTACAAGAAGGACTTTGAGAAGTGGAAGACCAAGTTCAGCAGCCCAGTGGACATGCTGGGGGTGGTGCTGGCCAAGAAGTGCCAGACCTTAGTGAGTGATGTGGACTACAAGCACCACCTGCACCAGTGGACCTGTCTGCCGGACCAGAATGATGTCATCCATGCTCGGCAGGCTTATGACCTCCAGAGCGATGTGAGTACTGAGATCCATAGTAACCAAGCTTATGGTGGTAACACATAGTAACAGATAGACAATGGCCCAGGACTAGATAGGACCCTCAGAGGCATGATGTTGCTTGTCTCTATTGCTCTTTTTAACAAATATCCTTTACTTTTTAAAAAGAGAGAACCTAATGCCATGAGTCTTCATATTTTAAAAGACATAGACCTTCCTTTTCCAAAGTTTTCCAGTCTTTATTTTTTATTACTGGCTTTTGTGTTTGATCTCACCAGAACATTTATAAATCTGATCTGCAATGGCTGAAAGGCATCGGCTGGGTCCCCATTGGGTCAGTGGATGTGGTCAAGTGCAAGAGAGCTGCAGAGATCCTGAGTGACAACATCTACCGCCAGCCTCCAGACAAGCTGAAGTTTACCAGTGTGCCTGATTCTCTGGAACAGGTGCTGGCCAAGAGCAATGCCCTCAACATGAACAAGGTGAGCCCCAACTTGAGGGAAAAATAGAACAGTATTATGTGTTATTTAGAAGGCCTATGAGTAATTAAGTTAGTCTTTTGTTGTTGTTGTTTTGTGCAATTAAATGGCTATCCAAATTATAGAGATTTGATTGAATTCTGTTTCTTTATATAAAAATTCTAAATATAAATGGGAGAATTTCTGCTTTGATATCCCTTATGAAATAGCCAGGTAAGAATGTGACAGCTGGGTGGGTACACTGGTGCATGCCTCTAATGCCAGCACTAGGGAGGTTGAGGTAGGAGGATCACAAGTTTGAATCTCACCTGGGCAAGTTAGTGAGACCCTGTCTCATGGGATTGTAGCTCAGTGGTGAAGCACCCCTGGGTTCGATTCCCAGTCCCTCCCTGCAAAAAAGAATAGGACATCTGTTTGTGGGTCAGATTATCTGAAACCTGTGAGTGTTACACATTTTTTTGGTATCAAGCTGTCTTTTTCGCTGGGTACATATCTAGTTAAGCACAGAACAAACAAGTAAAACATAGTCTTTATAATATTTATTAAAAGGAAATATGGAGGTGGGATCTCCAGGTATATCCACATTTAATAAATAAAATCCAATAAACAAAGCCATAGGAAGTATTTGTTAATATAGCCACAGTACACACATGGGTGTGTATATATGCGTGGGAAATAGCTGTGCCTTCCATTTAACTGGAGTGTGGGTAAAATAGTAACATATGTATGTTTGGTGTCATATACTTTTTTTTATATGTTAGTATACATCTGTGTTTAGTTACAATAAATATCCTATAAAATCAAAGAAGTTGAAAGCAATTTTCACATACAGTACACAGTGCACAGCAAGGAGGAGGGCTTTCCACTTCATCATGATCTTTTCGTTGAAATCTCCTGCTTACAAAGCTATGTTTTTCTAATCATTAACCTTTTATCTTTCACAGCGATTGTACACAGAAGCCTGGGACAAAGACAAGACCCAAATCCATATTATGCCTGATACACCTGAAATTATGTTGGCAAGACAAAATAAAATAAATTATAGTGTGGTAAGACCAGCTATTTTACTTCCTTCCCTTGGTCACATTGATTTTTGCTGATGTTGATACGTTAGAATTATGGATTTAATTATCATGTAAGCCAATTAGCTTAGTTTTGGTTTTTATACTCTTTATCCTTCCCTGAGTATACATATCATTATATGAAATATAAGTAGGTAAAAAGATAAACACAAAAATGTTCCCATTTCAGGGGAAATAAAAGTCCTTGCCGCCAATAATTAATGACTGAAACATATTATAACTTAATTTAAAATGAAAAATAATTTTTAAAAATTAAATGATTATTGCTATTTATCAAGTTAGAATTTGTTTCAAAATTTGTTCTGCATGGGTTTTTTTTCACATACCTTACCTGTAAAATGGGATAAAAATCCCTACTTTGAAAACTTGTGTGATGATGAAATGAAGTAAAAAATATGTAACATGCCTACTATGGAGCCTGGTACAAAATAGTTGCCTAATAGACTTTAATTTCTTTCCTTTGCCCTCAAGTCACCATCAAAATTAGATTGGTTTAATATGCTTAAAATAACTTGAGGTATATTTACAAGAGTCGAAATAAGAACCCTAAAATTTACTCACTTCGAAAGTGCCCAAGGCCCATAAAATTGTCTTTTATAATCTACTTCAGGTCTGCTAAACTTGTCTCACATGTCTTTGCAATCCAGAAATCTTTCTGAATAAATAGCTTCATGCTCAATTGCTTTTGTTCACATCAAGAATTTATCTGGCTGATTCAAGAAGAATACCAGTTTCTTATAGGTACAGGCATCTTCATTTAAAAAAAAAAAAGAAGGGAATAATTTTCTTCAGTTTGAAAACACCAGAAAATTTGAATATTGATTCTCAAAACTTGACTGAGTTAATTATTTTACCCATATTATTTACTTTGCCCATAATACAATGTAGTCCTAAAGAAGGAGCACACTTATTTCAAATAACCATGACAAATAAAGCAGAAGTGATTTTGCTCTCTCCAGCATTATAAAACAGACCAGATTGCCAGGCTGATCATGTTTGTCTGGCCTTGGCTTTGGTCACTTGTGAATGAGCAATATTCTCCTGGCCCCAGAGCGCCTCTGTTGGATCAGCTTCTCTCAGAAAGTTTGTTTTAACCTAAAGCAGATGAAATTTGCTTCTATCCCAGATTGTGACAAAGCTCTTAAGCCTCCCTTTTGTTTATCTGAGGTGAGTTGAAGTAGATTTTCTTTTCAACCTGCTGAGTAGATATAAAGGTGTTTTTGAAATCCAAAACTTTTCAGCTATATTTACTTTCTTTAAAATTGCAAGATTATGTTAATTCTTGCAGAACTGTTTTCTGAAGATTAGATTTCAGAATAACTTGTTTGAATTTCTTCTCAAGCCATTACCAATGGTTTATTCCATTCTTCACTCCATAAATGTAAAAGAAACAAATGCATCTTATTTTCTTCTCTTAGATTCTCATTTACTTAGTCTAGGGTTCTCTTGGGTAAGTAACACACCAAGCAAACTTTAAAATACACCCTTGATGATAATGAAACTTGTTTACTTTGAAGCACTGTATCTTTTTCAAATGATGGAAGAAGTAAATCTGTTTGGCCTGAAGAAATGAGATGAATCAAGCACATTTTTCCTACTTACACTATGAGACATATTCAAGCATTTATTCTACAATGGAAAATATAATAGATGAAGTATTTAATTCTTCAGTTATAAGAAACATCTGTAGAAATATTTTAAGAAAAATAAACCCTTTGAATTTTATCTCAAAGATATTAAATTTATTCTTATTTTTACTTTAGCTTTTCCTTGTAAAAATCTCATCTTAAAAGAATGTAAACTATGATATCTTAACAATCCAAGTTATACATTTTCAATAACATTTTTCTAAGATTCTTAAGTAATTTAAATATTAATGCCTCTACATCATATTTAAAATTCAGATGTTAGGCCAGCGTTCTTAATTCAGTCTAATTTGAGAATGGAACATAATAATGAAACAATTAACTTTAATTATTTCTGCTATACTTCTAAAGAATTTTCCTCACATTTAAGATTGTGTCTGTACATTGCCTCAACAATGAAAAGTTCACTAAACAGTATAACGTAGAAAGAAGGATAAAGCCCTAAGAAATTATGGATTATTGTTTTTCCCTTTAAAACCATACGTGATTTCTACATCCTTTTCTAGAGCTACCTACTAATACTATGTCTGCTTTAACCAACTCAATACATTTCTTACAAGAAGAAAGAAAAAACAATTAAAGATTAAAACATTAAATTGTAGATATTTGATTATTATGTCTCTACATAGGGTATGGAGATGAGCTGTCTTCAAACTTCACCTTCCTTTGCATTCGCAAAGGCTTTCCAGGGTTATGCCAGCACAGATCCTGTAAAGCAAATCAGTTAACATAACTCACTTCTGTGCAGACTCTACCTGAAAATGACCCTGCCCTTTAAAGAAGCACTCCATCTCCTCTTTCTCAGTCACTCTTCTTTCTCTTTAAAATAAGAAAGGCACAGTTTAAAGGTGGAGATACTACACCAAAAAATGTGACTTGCGCTCTTGAATTAACAATAGAAATATAACTGTTACAAAGAATATTGCTGGAACATTTGGTGAAACTTAAATAATCACTGTATATTAGATGATAATATTGCATCAATATTAAATTTCTGGTATTTTATAAATATATTAGGATTATGTAAAACTGTTTATTTGTAGAAGATAAATGGTGAAACATTTAAAGGTGAAGTTCATGATGTGTATAATTTTCTCTTAATTGGTTCAGTAATCAAAAATAGCAATAAGGGGCCAGGGATTTAGCTCAGTGGTGCCGTCACCTGCCTCACAAGCACAAGGTCCTGAGTTCAATCCCAGGTACCAAAAAAAAAAAAATAGCAATAAGAAAAATATGCACACAATACACACTCATACATATCCAAATAGGAAGAGAGTGCAAATATGGCAGAAGTGTTAATCAGTTGGTTATTTGGGTGTTCATTGTACCATTCTGGCAACTTTTCTGTAGGTTCAATTTTTCAAAATAAGGAAAATATACCGTTTAAAATATTAAAAATACATTAAACTCGTTGTCTAAATATAATTATACAAAGATTTTACTTTTAAAGGAAGGAAATGGAATACCTGGCCCAGTAATTACTGTGATGCCCATCTGAAGTATTAAAATAAAACTCTGGCCAGGTATGGTAGCATGTGCCTGTAATCCTAGCTCTTTGGGAGGCTGAGGCAGGAAGTTTGCAAGATTGAGCCCCACCTGGATGATTTAGTGATTTAATAAGACCCTGACTCAAAATTTTAAAAAGGTCTGAGGATTTAGCTTAGTGCAGAGGCCCTGGGTTGTACCCCTACCACCACAAGCAAAAAATAAACAAACAAACAAATAAATGGTTGGGGATATACCCCAATGGAAATGTCCTAGGTTCAATCCCTAGCACTGGAGAGAGAGAGAGAGAGAGAGAGAGGGAGAGAGAGAGATCTTTCAAATAGACAATTGAATTAATTAGTGCCCACCCATCACCAAGATCATTTTCAATCGAGGCACCGTGAGCTCCTATACGTCACAACAATTGTTCCTTTTTATGTTTAAAAATTGCCAAAATGTATATTTTGTTTTGATTTATTAAATACCAATATTAGCAATTGTTTTAAGTTTCATGTTGTTTTAATTGAATAACAAATTGGTTAAAATTCTTATAAACAAAGAAACAAAGACCAAAAAGGCTAATAAAAGGGGAAAGCTAATCACTATTGGTATAGATGATTTTTGTCTAATGGGTGTTTCCCAAATTGCACTCCATGGAACATCTGCACTTTGCCTTTCTGTGTGCATCTGTCCTGCCACAGAAACTGAATGGTGGTGGCTCTCAATTCAAAAGCAGAAACAAATAGAATTTTATCATTTTAGCTATTTTGACTCATAAATCTTTGGTACTTGCTATTCTCACTTCTGCAAACAATTTCTAGCAATTGATAACAATAAGACGGAGCAAATAAACATTGACAGGGAAATTCAGAAATAGCAATTGATCTTTATTTCAACACTATTTTGACTGTGGACACATTCCCATACTGGTAGTGTTATATATTAGTATATGACTGCAATGGCTACGAATAGAATTGTTCCTAAGTCAAATTTGGAGTTAAATAAATCAGCATTTCTAAATTGTTTCATGAAAAAAGCAAATTCTGAACAATCTAAACACATTGAAGTATAAAGTGTGTAAGGGTTTGTGCTAGGAGTTGTGATGTTAAAACGCTGAACATGAAATTTCCTTTTAATTTGATAGTTTAGAAAAACAGAAGGTAAAAGTTGGTTTTTTATGTACCAGTAAACTTCTATATCCAAAAGTAATATTCCTTGACAAAAATACAGTTTTAGATCGAATGTGAGTTCTGTGCCTAACAACTACTACTTTTTTCCTCAGAGCCTCTATCGCCAGGCCGTGGAAGAAGCCAAGAAAGAAGGCTATGACTTAAGAAGTGATGCCATCCCCATTGTGGCTGCCAAGGCCTCTCGGGATATTGCCAGTGATGTAAGAGCTGATCTAGTCCTCAGATTGATTACCTCAGGCCAACCACATCCGTGGGGAATCACATTACTGGAGTAGAGCTAGAAGTCCCCAGTCATTATGGACCTTAACTCCCTCCACTGGACAAACACATAAATTGAGGCTGAGACAGGAGGAACAGCCTAGATCACAGTATCATCATACTGTCAAAATCTATTACGGGGTGTGGTTTCTTTCCCTCTTGTCTGTTGGCCTTTGCTTAGTAGGAATGAATACGTCACGTAAAGACAGGTGGGCATATATTGAGATACTCCTAAAACCTCATGAGTTCTCCTTGGGATACACTCAAGGCAAAGATGACAGAAAAGAATTAGGCTTAACTGAGTTCACCACACAGGAATGGGGGGCAGGCATTGAATAACAAAAAGCCTAAAATTCTCCTTGCTGTGAGGTCCACAGAACTAATATTTCCAAACCCTCAAAAATGAAGACATCAGATTTGTAGCCATCTAAAAAAGTTATCCAAAAGTAGAAAAATTATCCATTTTTTTTATATTTTCATGGCAAAAAAAATTCATAAAACTTACCATCTTGAGCATTTTCAAGTATAAAATTTGGTGTTCATCCTATTCATATTGTGCAACAGATACATTTTCATTTTGCAAAACTGAAACTCTATACCCATTAAGTAACAGAAAGTGCCCATTTTTAAGCCACCCCACTGGATTATTCTTGAAAAAAGGAAACTATTTCTCTGACTCCCACGATAAAGATTGTAATGAACAATGTAAACATTCACCCAGGAGTGCTGTCAGGTGGGCTTGTTCACATGACTTCTGAGGCGCTGTCATTCCTTGCCACCATCAATGGGCTCATCCTTTGATATACATAAAGGAACTGTCATGGAGTTTTGTGGAGAGGTAGGTGCCAATGAAACAACACTCTCTTCAGGAGAAAGCCTGCCTTGTGTGTAACATCGCAGTGGCTTGTTAAAGAAAACCCCGTTTCTGAAGGATTTCACAGAACAACACCCCCAACCCTGAAAGAGCAGCAGCAAAGAGCCCTCAGTGCCTCCTCCTTATGTCCTGGGTTCTCTTTCAGTACAAATACAAAGAAGGCTATCGTAAGCAGTTGGGTCACCACATTGGCGCCCGAGCGATAGATGACGACCCCAAGATGATGTGGTCCGTTCACGTTGCCAAAATGCAGAGTGACCGTGAGTACAAGAAAGAATTTGAGAAATACAAGACAAGATACAGCAGCCCAGTGGACATGTTGGGTATTGTTTTGGCCAAGAAGTGTCAGACCTTGGTCAGTGATGTGGATTACAAACATCTTCTGCATGAGTGGACCTGCCTGCCTGACCAGAATGATGTCATTCAGGCACGAAAAGCCTATGACCTCCAGAGTGATGTGAGTATCCTGACATTGGGTCTGCATGTTAAAAGCAGATCTGGAATGTGGCCGTGGGTTCCGATTGTGTCTGTGTACTGAAATCTGTGTATTTCAAACAGTATACAGTTGAATATCTGAAAGGAGTTTCCCATTACAAGTACTACAATTTGTTTCACAATTTTTCTTCTCCGAAAGTTATACATAAAAGAAGAAATAAATATTATCAATTCTATGCTCATATGTATCTTCCTAGCACTTTGAGTTGCCTTTGTCTGAATCAGATGAAACTGGGGTCTCTAAAATTGATCACTATCAACATTAGGCTGAAGAGCAAGTCGTGTTCACAGAGGGTAGTTAGAGAGACTGGGAGGAAAAGTGTACCGTACCAAATTATTTTAATAAATATTCATATTTTACATTTGCTGACAAAATTCTAGAATATTCTTGTATTTTGCAAAATCAATCATCTAATACTTATTAAAATTTAGCATATCTTATTGAGGGTAAAATAAAATCATTAGGTAAACATCTAATATCTTTATATCAGATTTCCTTCACACATTTGATATTTTGTGGTTTTTGAAGTTGGAAATGAAGGCAGGAGTTTTATGTTTCCAATACTCATACACCATCGGTCTTGAGTGTGTATTGGAGCTATTAGAGTACATTTTCAAAGGCTAAAGATGCCCTGCTTTGGCGTGAAAATTTTGTAAAACTCTCAAAGCAAGACCATGTCTTTTTAAAAATGTTTTTCATTGATATTTGTATAATGTTCTGTGCTCAAAAATGAACTGAGGAAAAAAATGCACTTGGGTTTCAATAATATGTGCAAATGATTGACTATGCTGGGAGCTTTATCTATTCATCAGCACTTTTTATTTTCCTAGTATGACCTATTTTGTGGCTGTAAATCTGAAACACTAGTGCATACATTTTTTTATGTTGATCTTCAGAATATTTATAAGTCAGACCTTGAGTGGATGAAAGGCATTGGCTGGGTTCCAATTGGTTCCTTGGAAGTTCTTAAAGCCAAGAGGGCCACAGAGATACTGAGTGATAACATCTACCGCCAGCGTCCAGATGCATTAAAATTTACCAGTGTTACCGACTCTCCGGAGCAGGTGTTGGCAAAGAATAATGCGATAAACATGAATAAGGTGAGTCTTCAGTCCTTACTGTTAGCTATCAGAAGTTATCATGGAACAGGGGAAGGATACTGACTCATTATTACATTTCAACAATTACTATAAGATTTATGATAACTTCTTAAAATTATTTTTCTATCATGATACCATAGTTACTTAGTGATACTTCAAAATATTAAACTTATGTTAAAAATACTATGTTGTCACAAATCCATAATTCTTTAATAATTAAAGAATTAAATTTTTGAAGGATTTTAATAAAATACAAAGGTGAGCCAAGTATGGTGGCCCACATCTGTAATTCCATTATTCTGGGAGTCTGAGACAGGGAGATTGGAAGAAGGTTGCCTAACCTGGGCAATTTAAGATAACTTAGTGAGATAACAATTTAAAATGACTTGTGTCTCAAAATGAAAAATGAAAAAGAGGTAGCTCAACTCAGAGGCCCTGGGTTCCATCTCCAATACTGGAAATAAAAGGAATTTATACAAATTTAATAATTTACTTCTAAATTGTATACAACAGAAATGACTGGCATATAATCAAAAGGAAAAATGGCTGTGAACACCAACAGAGTTTTTTCATTTCTTAATAGCGCTTATATATTGAAGCCTGGGAAAATGACAAGAAAACAATCCATGTCATGCCTGATACACCAGAAATCATGCTAGCCAAACTCAACCGAATAAACTACAGTGACGTGAGTAAACTGTTGCTCTTGCAATGAACAGCAGGGCAAAAGTGCCCTGCTGCAACTGTTTCCTCAGTGAAATGTCCTGACTAATTCTTTATGCATACTACAAACAGACAGTGTCAGGAGAAGAGTTCACTATCGATTCAGTTTTGGGCCATGTGCTGAGTCCACAGAGGAGCCCAGTGTTCTGTTACAGGCTGACAGGGGAGTACACATGAAAAACTATCCTGGTAGTCACTGCACACTTACAGCCTTCCTCTGCAGGTCGTCACAGCTGGCCCTCCATATCTGTGGGTTCCACATCTGCAGAGTCAATCAACCATGGATCAAAAAGATTTTATTTAATAATTGCGTCTGTACCTAGTACAGATAGGCATTATTCTTATTATTATTCTCCAACCAAAAGCATATAACAACTATTTATGTAGTATTTACATTACATTAAATATTATATGTAATCTAGAGATCAAATACACAGGAGAAAGTGCATAGGTTATAAACAAATTTGTGCCATTTGAGGTAAGGGGCTTAAGCATCAAAGGATTTTGATATTGGGATTGGGAAAGAGATTCCTGGAACAAATCCCTCCTGGATACTGAGGTCCAACTATATTTTATTCAATAGCTATAATGAATAGGCATGAAATTATAACTCAGTGAGTTATTATGCCTGGTATTATTTTGCTGCTTCAGTGTGTGCTGGTATAATTTAGTGTTGTTTGCAAGCACTTTTTAAGCCCTCTCTATTAGGAACAATTGTTTCATAAGAGAAATGAGCCCAGAACCCATGGTCCTTGATGACAGTTCACAGCAAAGTGAGAAAAAATAAGGACAATACACTGTGTTTTTCATGAAATCAAATATATTCCATTTTTAAACACCATTCTTATTCTTTTCCTTCTTTAGTATTAAGATGGCCTTTCTTTTTATGGTATGGTGGCAATGGTAAATAGTTACTTTTTACATGTGCTTGTTTGGCAAAATAAAAATTTTTCAATCAAATACTGGTTTCCTCCAAACTCTTGAAATTTATCAGTCAATAAATTCTGAAGTTCATTTCTTAATATCCATGAGCACCATGAAACATAGTTACTTATAAACCCACCTGAGTTCTTGATTTTGTGAATTTGTGTCAGTAAAATTTAACAACAATGACTATTGACTCTCTTTTCCACAGAAACTCTATAAACTTGCTTTGGAAGAGTCCAAGAAGGAGGGCTATGACTTGCGCCTGGATGCTATTCCAATCCAAGCAGCCAAGGCTTCAAGAGACATTGCCAGTGATGTAAGTTAATATTTTTGAAAGAAGCCTTTCTTACCCAAAGGAATTGGCAAATGAAAGTTATTTGAGTTTTTCTTTCCAGAACTTCAGTTGTCCCTGTAAGTCTCAATTCCCTTTAGTGATTCCCTCATATACAAAGTTGTAAATTTTTAAAAAAGAAAAGAAGGAAGAAAGGAAGGCATTAAATACTATCTCCATAATATCTGTTAATCAGTCAAAGATAAATACATATTTTTAAAAATAAATATTTTAGCTGGGCATCATGGCACAAGCCTGAAATATCAACATTTAGAAGGTAGAAGCAGGAGGATTGTGAGTTTGAGGCCAGCCTGGACTGCACAGCGAGTTTAAGGACAACCTGAACCTTGTCTCAAAAAAAACCACCCCAAAACCAAAACCTGCTTTATTATTATTATTATTATTATTATTATTATTATTATTATTATTATTTTTGGTACCAGGGACCAGGGATGAAACTTGGGACCTTCAGCTTTCAAGGGAGGTGGTGGAACCACTGAGCTAAATCCCTGGCCCTAAACCTGCTTTATTTTTGAGCTTCAGCAATTGAGCACTATCTAGCCCACACGTTTATAACATTAAAGAGGTTGATACCACAGCTAAATCAACTGATACAAATGAGAACTCTTTCTTACTATTCCTGGAAGACAAGACAATGGATGTGGTTTAGGATTTTGTTTCATCCTTTGTAACTAACAGAGAGGTTCCCTTACTAAGAGGCCCCTTACAGGACACAAGAGCAAACTGAAGGGAGTGAAGCTCTTTCTTAGCACCCCTTCGCCTTTTCTCTACTTTTTTTCACGTGAGACCTCCTGAGGGTATCCATGTCCTCACTGTGTACCAGGCTTCCTAAGGACACAAATCCAGACTTCTAGATGGATCCTCTGCCTTAGATTTCTGCTTCATCCCTTCTGTTTTCAAACCATTTTCCAGTTGCCAAGCCGGAGAAGCCCATACAATGACTGTGTCGTGGTAAAATGAACCATGATTTAATGTTGTTCTTGAGTTTTAAAAGTAGATAGAATCTTAACCCCAAGGTACAACTCTTCCCTGGGGAAAGTTCAGTGGTGCTGACAGGCTAATATGTGAAGTTATTTCCTCGAGACACATTAAACGCTACCTAAATGTAGCACATATTCTTAATTAAGGAATTCAGTATAAATTCTAACCCAGAGAGCCTGGGTATGGTGGTACATTCCTGCAATCCCAGTACTCTGTGAGATGGAAGCAGGAGGATTGCAAATTTGAGCCTGATGCTTGGGTGATTTAGTGAAACTCTGTTTCAAAATAAAAAATATAAAAAGGGCTGGGAAAAAATATAAAAAGCTCAGTGTGAAGGCCCTGGGTTAAATTCCCAGGACTTGGGGGAGGAGGGGGAAGAAAGGAAGGAAGGAAAGAAAGAAAGAAGGAAATCTAATAACAAGGGAAATATTTTAAAGTATTCTTAATGCCAAAAATTTTTAGAATCAATGACCATGTCTTTAAGTGGATGCTCCACTAGATTGCATAGATGTTTTACTTTTACTTGTTCAGGAATCACATGTACACTAGGCAATGTAGTTTAGAGAAAGGGAAAATATTTTGGGGCGAGAAGCTCTGTAGTCTCAGCCCTGTCACCTACTTGTGATAGGATCTTCAGGCTTCTATTTCACAAAATGTTGTTGGCATTCACTTTTCTCCTTCATGATAGTAGTGGGGAAAATGAAAAATAAATACTGTGTGTCCTTCTAATTAGACTCCCATTCCTTTTCTTTCTTCAGTACAAGTACAAGGAAGGCTACCGCAAACAGCTCGGTCACCACATTGGCGCACGGAACATTAAAGACGACCCCAAGATGATGTGGTCCATCCATGCGGCCAAGATCCAGAGTGACAGGGAGTACAAGAAGGACTTTGAGAAGTGGAAGACCAAGTTCAGCAGCCCAGTGGACATGCTAGGGGTGGTGCTGGCCAAGAAGTGCCAGATCCTCGTAAGCGACATAGACTACAAGCATCCTCTACACGAGTGGATTTGCCTGCCAGATCAGAATGACGTCATTCAGGCTCGGAAGGCCTACAACCTTCAGAGTGATGTGAGTGGGTTAATATTCTTCAGCTATCTGTTTAAAGGCCTTAAAAAGGGGGTTCTAAATTTTTTGTCATGGAATCTTTTGGTCATCTGGTAAAATCAACACTTTCCCTCACATTGACATATGATTGTGAAAATATTAAGTCAAATCTGTGATGTAATAATATACATGCTTTTAATTAACATTAAATAATGGCAACCACAGGTATAATAACTAGGTATGTGGTATGATAACTAATTTTTAAAGAAGTGATGTGCATAAATTTATGTTAATATATCTTCAATAACTGTAACAATACATGAAATACTTGTGATATCTATTGCCTACAAAGTCGTATGTGTTGCTTAAAAAGTCACAGTTAGTGTTACTACTACTACAATCCATTGCCTATACTTTTAATTAATGAAATGCTATATTTCAGTTAATAGTTAATGAGTAAAGTGATGAGTAAAGCAAGCTGATTTTTCAAATGAATTGATTTCATCATTTTACTGACTTCTATTTCTTAACTTATAGGAAGTATCTATTATAACTTGTGAATGAAAGTTTAGAAATGAATCGTACATGTTTTGATAATTTTTCTGAGAATTAAAATAAACAACTGCTCCCTAGAAATATGTTAGGTGATCTTTTGTTGTTCTGAAGATTGAATCCAGGGTCTTCAGCTCTAGTTCGACAGGGTCTTGCTAAATCTCTAAGTTGACCATGCTGGGCTCAAACTATCAATCCTCCTACCTCAGGCTCTCAGGGTGCTGAGATTACAGGTGGCACCACTGTGCCTGGCTGTTGGGCACATTTTTGTGTTTGTTTGTTTTGTTTCTGTCTGCCAGTAGATTGTTGTTTGGGGACACACATAAGCTTGTTGGTACTGTAGCTCCTACTTTGATCTGGCTCTGACTAAACAGTAACTTTTGGAAGAATGATAAAAAGCCATGGAATTATTTTTAAAGTTCCAAAAAGTCATAAAAACAAAAAGAATTGTTACCCTTACTTACAAGAAAAATTCTCCTATAACTGATTATTTAAATTCGAGGAAGAAAAATGAAAAGATAAAATGTCTTTTTTAGTTAAATTTTAAGACAAGAAAAGGGACTTAATAAAAGCAGCAAATAAATATATGAAAAAATGTTCAACATCACTGGTCATTCCAGAGATGCAGATGAAAACAACACTGAGATTCCACCTCACCCCAGAAAGAGTGGCTGCTATCAAGAAATCAACCAGTAACAAATGCTGGTGGGG